AACAGTTCTGAACGTTAATAGTCATACGTGTATATACAATCAAATTTTGAAAGTTAACAGAAAAAGTCAATATCTATGAAAGAGTTACAAGCGTTGCTATATTTCATACTAACCAGAAGATTCATTTTAATTACAAATCCTTATGTGATGAGTTTCTGAAACGGTTGGAAGTGATTACAAAATCTGAGAATAGAACTGTGAGGCGAAAGAGGAATAGTCTGTATAAGTATGATGAATCAAACAAGAGATTATCGGTATGCGAGACAAACAAAAATGAATATTATCACATTTGACAACGGAGCAATAATAGGCTGAACCAAATGGTAACTAATGGCTCTTCCCGCTTTCCATCCAGAGACACGTTAAATAAGGCTTCTTCAAGGTGTTATTATCACACCTCTATATGGCCCCTGCATTTTAAGGTACTGAAATTATACTGCTCACTACGGAAAATTCAGATATAGCTATATATTTACTACGTGGAACCGTAGGTGCCACATACTATCTACAGTTGATGAAAAACTTCTCACCTGAATGACCAAACTTGGTCCTCCAGTTACAATCTCTTGCGGAATTGAGCTGAGAGGACAATTCTCGATTGACATGATTTCGAGTGATTGGCACAAAGATAGTTCATATGGTAATGAGTGCAAGGATAAGTTATCATTTAAATATAATGTCTTCATGCTATCCAAGTGACCTATAAATATACCATTATGTGGACTATACAACCTTTGATTATACCAATTTCTTCTGGAACTGTGGTCAAACTGTTTTCTCCAACTCGAAAATCTACGAGACTTCCTAAATTGCCGATGGTCCTTGGCAAGTTAACTAGTCGGTTAGACTGGAGCCACAATTTATTCAACAGTAGTAGGAAACCTGAAAAAATATCAAGATGAATAGAACAAAATAAATACGGCTAACCGATCTCGTTGGGTATAGCTTCTAATTCATTCTCCTCCAAATCTAATTCTCTTAGTTTCTTCAGATTTCCAATTTGAGAAGGTAACTTCTTAAGCTGATTGTTAGACAAAACCAAAATCTCTAAGTTTATCTGAAACAATATAAAATTAATAATATTCTAACTTCATGTTAAATCATTTTACCAATTTGTCAATGTCATCTGGTAAGACCTTGAGCTGATTAGTTGACAGATTCAATTCCGTAATTGAAGTCCAAGTTCCCATATCTTCAAAGAGAATCTTTAAAAAACAGATAATATACAGAGTCACCTAATGGTAAAGAAGATAATTCATTCTCCTTAAGATTCAATTTCGTTAAACCAGTCGCCTTGGAGAATATGCCAATTGGAATTTTGCTAATCATGTTATGTTCCATATTGATAGTCTGAATAAAAACAGTTGATTTCCCTTATGTGAAAATCAAAAGTTACCACTGCACTAGAAAACTGAAGAGGGCCTCCTGATGGGAAAGCTGATAACTCATTGCGAGAAAGATTGATAGTTGTTAATTTAGGAAGATAAGTCAACATATTATCCTAAAAACAGTTTTTAAAACTGTTGTTCCCACAACGTTACCGGTAGATTTTGCAAATGATTACTCTCGACGATAAACTCAGTCAGATGAACACAACTTTTCAGTTGATTAGGCAGGGTTTTCATTTTGTTGTATCTGAAAAAATGTAGACAACTATTGAAGAATGACGATCAACTTACCGAATTCCTAGTCTTTCAAGATTAGAAAGCTGTCCGATTGACGGTGGTAAATCGATAAGATCATTATGCTGCAGATCAAGTTGAGTTAGCGCTTGACAGTCTCCGATTTCTAAAAAGTTATACTAACAAAATAAAAATATAGATTTATACCTGGTGGGATAATGGTTAAATGATTATAACTTAAAAGACAAATAACCAGAGATTTCATGTGGCCTATTGATGCTGGTAGCTCCCGTATTTTGTTCTCCCGTAAATCAAGCATCTTCAACCTAAGTTTTGAAGTTGTCTATGGCATAACGAAAGTTAAACGAACTTTTTGAGATTACTAATATCTTTTCCAATAACAACGATCCGATTATAACGAAGCCATAACGTTTCCAGGGAGGAAATACGATATATCACAGGTGGAATCTCCAAATTACACAAATATTCAGAACTAGTATGCAAAGTACCTCTGTGAACTTGTTATGCCTCAGATCGAGGGTCTCCAATTGAGTCAGAGCCGATAAACTATCGGGCAAAGATGTGAGCGAGTTCTCACTCAAGCCTTAAATTATTTTTGAAACAAGAAAACTATGATTTGGGTACCTAATTTCTTAAGTGACACTAAACATCCCAGTTCGGAAGGCAGTGTTGTTAATTTATTTTTATAAATAAATAATTCTGTCAATTGTGTAAGATCACGAATGGATGACGGTATACAAACAATCTGGAGAAAAATAAGATAACTGTGCTACGAGAATGGGCTAATAGATCAAGACAAAACTCACATCACTTGAATTCAAATCCAACCGGCTATCATTGTTTTCGCGGCATTTTTGAAACTCTCGATTGAGATCCTGAAATTTGAACAATGAACTAAAGTTCGAAATTTCTCAAAAGTAATTTGTAGTCCAGTCTTACTTTTTTCGGCTTCTCATTGAAACCTGAAGCATTGGCACTCTTCTCACTCAAACTATTACGTGTTTTACTTCGGGCAAAACTACTGAGCCGACCAATGACACCTGGACTTTTACTTCTTTGGCCCTCTTTTGTGGGACGGAATTCGAACTCTTTGGCATTACTACTACTGTGATCCATAGTTGCCGAGTTTAGACATAGGGACAAGGCGTCGAACAGACGCGAAGTGCCCCCTACGCTTCCTTTTCCCAAGAGAGCCAGAGTACTGTAAAAAGTCGGGGAAGATGTTCTAAGCTAACTCAGATCAGAACAAATAACAAATGGAAATGGCAACAGAAGAGTTCTCAATCAAATGGAAATAATTTTTGCCAAAGAAACTAACGGAAGATGATGAGCAGAAGCTGAAGATAGTAAATAAGTTGCGTTTATAAAAAAAAAGTTATGTACGAAAATAAAGGAAAGAACAGTTTCAAATGAAAAATTTAAGGAAAAATTGATTATTTGCTTGAAGTCGATAAGGGTGTAAAGCGAGGCGTGAAAACAAACGTCGTCAACTTTCAAAACAATTTGTAAAAGGTTAGCCATTGCAAAAATTGATATTTGGTTTAAACTAAGAAAAATAAACAACATCAGAATGAGCAAAAAATGCGGAAAAGGACTCTACAAAGCATAACATAAGCAGACAAGACAGAACCTAATCGGTTGGTTGTTCAGCTTTCATCAAATATTAGTAATAGCTAAAATTAATTTGAAATAAGGTTACTGAACATTTTGAAGAATCCGAACAAAAGAAAATTCAAAAAAATGTGAAAGGAAGGAAATAAACGTTTTGATTCGGAAAAGATTCAATACAACTACAGACGAATTGATGAAGAAAAGGATGATGTGTGGCTGAACAGACCGGTTGGAAATGAATGGAAATCTATCTTCTCTTCATCTTATTATCATTACATCGAGAGAAGAAGACGTTTAAGGCATTTCTCTTTTAATGCCCACAATTATCATTCAATAAAATACATATGTTTCTCTTGTAAAAGTCTTTTTCAAGCGATGAGAGGAACGGATACAAAGTTGAAGAAAGAGTTATAAGGCAGACGAGATATAGAGCAAAGTCAGAGAAAGGAAGAGAGGGAAAAATAATCTCATAAAGAGAGAGTAATGGAGTGAGACTGGTAAAGAGCGAGAGATACAGTGAAAAATAGTAAAGGAGTGTTACAAGTAGAAACGAATAAGAGGGAATCCGAGAATAATGAAGAGAAACAAAGAGAGTGAAAATATACAAATTTTGAAATTTAGCTTCTTCTTCTTCCACAATCAAAATAAAGAAACATAAATTGAATGACATTAAGTTGAGAATGTGAAGACCCGCCACCAGAGCCCAGAAAGAGCCAAAGTCCACATGAAATTTGCCATCAAAGCTTATAGAATAAAGTCATGGAAGAAAAAAATATTAGGCAAATGTTTTCAAGACAAAGACTGGGAGGAGAAGCTAAAAAGGAGAGAAAGTTAAGTTCAACAAGTCACGCGAGATTAAATGAATGCAAACAACCAAAAATTCAACAGAAAAAGGAAAAAAACGAGACATGAAAATTGAAAGGCGAGTTTTCTTTTTTGCACAAAAGCAGATTTGTTTTTTTTGTTCGAATGAGAAGCAAGTTCGACCTTCAGATGATGTCCTTCTAAGGTGGAATTTCATACCAAAACCTTCCAGACATAAATGGATGAAACGGATGAATGACTTCAATTATAATTCAAAACATTCGAAGGAGAAGGAAGATGAAAGAGTTTCCATTCATTTTCAAAATAAGTTTCTTATAATTTATAAGAACTTTGTAGATAAACCGAAGAATAAGTTGTGAAATAAAAATAAGAAACTGTGAATGATTCATAAAATTCTTTGCTAATTGTAAATAATTTTCACTACCAAAAATTTCATGTTTGAGAAAGTACAGGCCGATGAAATTTGGATTAAAAATACTTTCGAATTAAAACATTACTAAAGAGAGAAAGAGAGAGCGAGAAAAGGAGAGAGAGAGATAAGTCTTAGAACAGACGGAGATGATCAAAAGTTATAAGCAGATTGAGGATGAACACAAGACAGAAACTGGTGAAGATGAGCAGAAACAGCTGCAGATGCGTGGCCACTCGAGAAGAAAGCAGCCCAGCTTACAACTACATTCCGCACTTCCGATGACACAATCGGTCCAGCTGGTGATGAGGAAAGTTAAAAAGCACATCAAGGGTTCATTAAGTCTCTTGTGATTTTGGAGAAGTTTAGTGAAGCGAAAAAAAACATTTGCAATGGTCAACTATTTCGTTTGCAGTTGTATCCCTCCTACAATTGACTTTATGACCAAAAAAGTGTCATTTGTAAATAGGTCACATCCAAATTGATTATTTATATAATAGAAAAACATATCAAAAGTAAAAGGAGATAATCCGAGAAAAACAAGTGACAGAGAGTGGTGTAAGGAAGAGAAGAAACTAAAGTAGGAAGCTGCTGGAGGAAATTATTGTAATCGTCTGAAGAGGAAAGCTTCAGAAAAGTGATAACAAGAAGTGATGAAAAAAAAGCTAAGAAAAATCATTTTTGTATATTCGCAAAGAAAAAAGAGAGCAGAAAGGAGTAGCAGATGTTCCATAAACAGACAAGTCAAACTATTTATTTCCAATAGCTTAGTGGACATCAAAAGATGTACTTGAAAGGAACGAAAAGATGAGAATATTGAACGGATGAAATAGAAGGGATGGTTATTTCGTTCTTTTGCTCACAAGCCGTCAGATATTGGCAAGGGATAAGCTTAGAAGATGCTTTGGGTTGTTGCCCGTTGATTGACTACGATTGGAGCACAACAGTGTAATGAAGAGAAAACTGATAGATGTGCGTAAAATCACAAATTATAAGAGAAAGAGTGTGTTGAAATACGAGTATTCGAATAAAAAAAATTAAATAATTGTCGTCTAACAATAGAGCAAAACAATTACAAAAAAAAAATCTATCGCTTGGTGCCAAGAAAAATAATAAAGAGAAAAGGTTCAAAGAAGAGAAGTGTAAGAGTTCGAACTTGTGCATATGATCTTATTTGTTTCATCAACACATAGAATCATCAGATGACAAAAGAAATGGAATAAAAAGTTTCGAATGAAATAAAAAGAATCAGAGAGGAAAGACTTCTGATTGCCAATCACAACCCAAAGCCTGGCGGGTGTCAGCCAATTGCCAAAAGATTGCAAAAGAAGAGCGTCTCTTAGGAAAGTCGATAAAACATTTGGAAAAAAGAAATAAAAGAAGGAAAATAATGAAAAGAATTTAGAAATAAACGACACTATGTGTGACTACACACATATCATTCAGTACTTTGATCACAAATTGTTTAAGAAATTCATTAAATGTAATGGATATCTCATCATATGTTAACTGCATATTCTATAGAGGGAAGTGATGTCTTAAACAAAAAATCAATATCGAGATTTTGGCAGAGAAAGTGACAAATTTTCACTTTTCTTACTAAGAGGCAGCTTGTGCTGAAAATCTCTTGAGAATTGAAACAAAATGACAGAATTTTAGTCAAATATTTCAGGCTCTCTATACATTCTCCCTTTTTTCATTATTACAACCCTCCCTTCCAAACAAACAAGGGAATTTCAATTCCATATAAGGTATAAGCATTATGAAGAAAAAAACATATTTTTTACCTTCACTGAATATAAGAGAGAATATGGAGAAAGATAGAAAATTAAAGGAAGCAATAGAGAAGTAGAGGAAAGCCCTTCGGTGAACACACAATGCAACTTCAAACAAACAAAAAAACAACACTAACCTTATGATGAACATGGTTTTTTCGATTCTTATGAGGGAATATGGCTTTATCTCCACCTGTCACGACAGATACTCGTTTCGTTTGTGGTGAGCGTACTCCTTTCTGGAATATTAAAGATTAGAAAAAATTATAAAATATATAAGAAAGGGGACAGTCTGTGTGGGGGCGTTGAGAGTTTTAGGCACCTCGAGAAGATCTGGCAAACTGCCATTTTCAGCCTTTGCCACACTTGATAGGCATGTATTCTGCATTTGAACACAAATATCATTGTTGTGTTGTAGTGAAAAGCGTCTGCGAGCAGAATGAAACAATCGACGAGATGTTGATGGAGGACGTGATGTATTCAAAGAATTATTTTGTAATGAAGATAAAGGCGTCGCTGTTACTAAAACAGGTCTCATTGCTGTTACTGGAGCGGCACGAAAGCTTATTTTGCGAGTTCGAGATGGTGAAGATGTTGATGAAGCAGATGATGTCGTATCAGCTGAATCCATTGAAAAACGCCGAAGGAATGAGGAAACAGTAGATGTCATGTTTCCTTAAAAAGAGAAAATGATCCACGAGAAGGATGGAAAACTAAATTGGATAGTCAAGAGGGAATAAGAATGGATTAACTAAATTCAGCTAATCATCAAAAAAAAGTTTCTCGAATTAGAAATGGCAAAATTTTATTAAAGAAAAAAAAGAAGCTGTAATAGCTTCAATACCAGAGGAATGGGCTTATAACGAAGAGAGAATCGTCAAACAAGAAAAACATTCTTAGTAGGAAGATGGTAGGAATATTGGAGAGAGATGATGCTCATGAGAAGTTATGGAAAGGAAAAAGCTAACGAGGCCATACTGAGTAGACAAGAAGAAATCTTAAAATAGTTTACTTATCAAGAAAGGAAAATGTTTCCTTCCTCTCTTTTCCTTTCTCTCTCTCTCTATATATATATTTATACCTACCTACCTACATATATATATATATATATATATATATATATGT